AATCATTACAAATTAATCAAATATACTTATTATTTTCTATTAAAACGCTCAATGTATAAAAATGCAACCTTACAATAGTCAGAATTACTTGAAATTTGCTATTAGTGCTCTTGAATAAAATTAAATAAATACTTGTTTTAGCATTTTTCGAAATTCATCCTATAAATAAAGTAAATAGGGGATGAAAGTTTATATGAAACTACCTTTTTAGAGATTTTTTGCAATTTTAGCGCGAGCGATGCCGCGGGTGTGTTAGTTAATCATATAATATATACACGGCTATGCATTTAGCCCTTTTTAACGTCCCACTGCTGGGCACGGATCTCCCTTCAATACGAGGGGGATCAGGCCATAGTCCACCACGCTGGCCAAGTGCGAGTTGGCGGACTTCACATGTCTTTCGAAACTTGCTAGGTTCTCTCAGACATGCAGGTTTCCTCCCGATGTTTTCCTTCACCGTAAGGCAAGTGGTATTCATGTTGGAAATGATTCGCACATGAAAATATCAGAGGTGCGAGACCCGGGATTTGAACCCGCTTCACTCGGTTTTCCCAAGCGAGCGCGTTACCACTGGGCTACCACTGCCTTATACACGGCTATAATAAGCTGCATACAGAGCGCAGTAATGTAAAGCAATATTTCACAAGGTTTTTATATAATTTCCTTAACATTTTTTTTCTTGTACAAAACAAAATCTAAATTAAAGTTTTATTGAAATCATATTAACGTTATTCCTGTGTTCGATACTGGTATATATGGAACGACCAAAATATATTTTTATATCGTTTATAAATAACGAATTTCTAAACAACGCCTCTCGCCTGAAGATAAGGGACAGGGCACATTAGGAACCGCTACAAACGCATAGTATTCACCTAGTATCGACGATAGTAGACGACACGTTTGGCTCAGTTTGTAGTGGCCCTACTTTCTGTGCTGGCGGTCCCGAATTCGAGTCCCGCTGGGGGCATTCATTTGTGTGATGAGGAAGGTTTGTACGCTAGTCATGGGTGTTTATATTTTTAATATATATGTATTTAAAGTTATATATGTGTAGTGTATCAACTATCTGGTATCCATAACAGATGCCTCGTAGCTTACCATGGAACTAGATGGTGTTGTGTGTTACTGTCCCAACATATATATATATATTTATAAAAAAATTGAATACATAAGCATCTATCTCAATTCTCGGTGGAAAGAAAAATATGTATTGTATAGAAAATAAAATATAGCTTAAGAATTAATATTCTTTATTCATATAAAAGATGAGTATTTTAATAGAAAATTTAAATAAAGTTAATCTAACAAGTATGTTTTATACTTTACAAGTATCTATAATTTCTCTATCAATAGCTAAGTACCAAAATGTACCTTCGTCTTCGTAACCTAACAACCTAACAAATAAACAATTTTATCTTATTATTGAAGAACTAGGATAGGGAAGAAAGTAATGATACTCGACTATAGAGATAATTTTTAGTTTTTTCTTTGGAAAAAATAAATTATCGAAAGCAGATAGGTTGTGCGTTGTGCAATATCTTTGTTTATTTCTATTCTAAAAAAAACTTGGATTAATTAAAAACTTAAGCTCTCATAATAAATTATGTCTACGAGAAGCCCTTTAATCTGTTCTTTGAAGATCGAGTTTCAAAACACTGAAAGTGTAAATTGTTTATTTTTAACGAAACATTAATCAATCACTATTTATATTATGATGTTTAGCTCTACATTTATGGCTTGTAATATTCCTTTTTATGAAATCTTTCGGTAATTTTTAATTAATAACATTAAAAAGGTGTTATTCTTTGATACTACGGCGATAAAATAGGGACGCTGAGTTAGAAAAATTCAAAATTAAATAGGTAACAAGAGTTAAAAATCCAAAAAATCTCATATTTTGCACATAGGTTAAAACTATTAAAAACTTAAAAACAAATCCAATTAGATATAATAAATGCATGCTTATTGTGAAGCTGGTGTACCTAAAACAACAGAAATAGACTGATGCTAGGGTTTTTTACGTGACGGATGAATTGATTAACAATAATTAAAGAATCAATGGAAGAACTTAAATTCACCTCCGGCTTTAATCTTCACCGTGCGCTTACGATTGGTATAAGCTACTGATCTTGCTTTACTTGCTTTAGTACTGCATATTGTGATCGATGTTGGTGTTCGTCTTTGCTATTTTTTTATATTCATAGTTTATCCTGATTGCTAAAAAAATATTTTATTTTTATAATATGTTTACTTTTAGTGCACATATTTTGGCATAATATGTCCACTTAATATGTCAACTTTGCTGGAAGCATCATCCCAAGAGGCAGACCAATGCCCACCTTTTCATGTAAAAACCTGATATAAGTTCCTTGTTGTTATGCATTGTTGGAGCTAAGAAACGGTTATGTTTTAAAATAATCTGGAAGCCAAGTTTTATAACTTTATATTTTTATTTTTAAGCCACTTAAGTGGAAAAAATTCTCAAAAAAATATTGAAATAATATCGTTTTTCGTTTCGCATTTTTAAATTTGGACCGATAATTGTCGTTTTAATATTGATAAATAACTAGTGTTTAATCGTTTTTATAAATCAGAAGAAAAAAATGAGATTTAAATTGATATTTTTTTTATACATTTTTGATGTTGTATTTTTGACTTTGAAAAAAACTAAAAAACATGTTAACTCAAAAATGGTTCCCTTTTGCATAATGCATATATGGGTTAAAATTATCGCAAATAGTCATCCTAACGGGAATACGTCGTATTTAAAAATAATTTTGGATAAGAAATTGTTAACTAAACCTAAAAAGAAACTAACTGAATTAAACCAAAAAGCTGTGCATAAAAAATATTAATAAAAATGAAAAAACCTACAAACATGCGTAAAAAGCAAAATAAAAAGATGAGGACAAGTTGAAGAAGGAAAATTATAGTACTTACCTATTATGCAGTCTGAGACATGAATACACGTAATAAGGCTTGCAGAATGGATAAAACATGTGTCTCTAATAAAATGAACCTGAAAAACGATCCAAAGATCAAAAAAATATCCAATAGTATGAATGAATGAGAATGGTACCATACTTCTGAAATGCACGTGTTGTACCAAATTTCATCAAAATCCCTCTAGTGGTTTTTCCGTGATGCGTTCACAGACAGGCAGACAGATAAAAATTCTAAAACTATAGATTCTGCCTCTGTATCGATAATAACATTTATTTCAACAAGATTTTCCAAAAAATATTTATGTACAGATTCGGCTTAGTTACAATTTTATTATATACCTATATAGATGACAATTTCAAGAATCAAATAATTAATTTACAATAAAACATATAAATCCTATTTTTATATAATTTATTTATATGAGTAGTGCAACAGATGACTCGACCATAAAGTACTACCCATGCCAAATTATACTAAAATCCTACCAAACTTTATGTAATTAAAGTAATTTTCGGAAAATTCAAATATTTCATTATCTTATTTTCTGATATAAAAAAAAACTTAATTTATATGTTGCCTGGGTACGCAACCCATTATCGTACAAAATTTGATCAATACCTCAAACCTGTGAAACGCAGATAAATTATACAAGGACAGACATTTTTTTTAAGTAAAGCAAACACTAGTGGTTTTATGAAAAATCTAATATCCATATTTTTAATTCAACTAGCTCTTCCGGCTTTAAAGTTTGTTGATACCTGAATTTAGTGCATAGCATGTATGGCTGCAGTTCCGGAGGTCCTGAGTTCAAGTCCTACGGTCGGGCCCAGTTTGTTATTGGGGTGCTGTTAAAGAAGTCTCAGTAACAGCATGGCACCGCGGTTGCAGAACACGTTAAACCATCGGTCATGCGCTGTCTCACCGGTCGTGTCAAATTATCGTCCCATTATAATCCTGTTTGGACTATAAAGCTCTATATATAAAATCACTTCCTTTTGGATTGCTTTCGAAAGCAAGCTAGGCTTGGAAAACTAAACATCAATATAAATTAAACATATTAATAAAAAAATTGTAGAGCTTTATTAATCTGTAATTTTATAAAAAAAACATAAAAATCGAGATTCACAAAATAGTGCAATACATTTAAATTATCTATATATTACTCATACATATTAGGAATGTAAATAGTGCTTACATCATCGATCAAAAAAGTATTACCGGCAAAAAAAAATCCTCACCGAATGAGCGCTCATTTGAACATATAAGCGCGCCTTTAATTTAAAATTTTTCTTGTGAACACAACTTTAAGCAGTGAATTTAAGGTTCAATTTACATTGTTGTATATTTATTTCAACTATATTAATTACCTAAACACAACTGGTGACAGTTTTATAAGAACTTTTGCATGGGATTGTGTATATAGTACTTTTTTGATTGATGGCTTACATATATAAAAATAAAATAAAAAAATATAACTGTGAAAATATTTCAAAGCTGCATTTTTTTTTTCTACCTACATAATACAAAAAAAATATTGGCTCATTACATTTCAGTTTATAATGTTCAATGTACACATAATACAATTTCCATTGTTCTTATGATGAACAAATTAACAAGTTTCAAATTTATGACTTCAGTATTGTGCTAACTTTTGCCATGTAAATTAGTAATGAATAATATGAATTGTTCATGATGTAAGCTGCAGACTGTAAATGTTTCTTAAATACTAATTACAAGTCTCAATAACTACATCAGGGCTTATAATGTACATGAGTCCTTAAAAATAATCTGTATTAATATTATAAATAAATGTGAAAATCTGTGAGTATGGGTGTTTGTTACCCTTTCACACCAGAACGGCTGAACGGATCTGGATGAAATTTGGCACAGAGATAGATTATAGTCTGGAATAACACTTCAGATCATAAGTAATTTTAAGATGAAAAAGTACATAAGTTAAATGTTATAAAAAGTAGTTGTGTGAAACAACAGTAGTTGTGGTAATGTAGACAGTACAGTAGAATGCCATTTGTATAATAATAAACATATTAGCTAAAAGATTCTTTATCTAAAATCAAACAAAATTATTATTAAAGTAATATCTTATATAAAAGTATCACTTTATGGACGGAAAGTTTACATCAAATGCAATATCTATATCAATTATCTACATACACAATAGGGCATATGCGTGTTTTTATTGTTTTTTTATACAATAGCTTACATCGTTATGTTATCTATTTATTATTATTGTTATTATAAATTAATATTATTGAAAAAAATATCCAGTTTTAGAAAACTAAAATTTGATACAAAAAAAATTATTTCATGACGTCATAGTCTATGACAACATTGCAATAAACAAATGAACAGATCTAGATTGTTAGTACCAATCGCATACACCAAACAACAGTGTTCTATTATAAATTATAATAGACTTTGACGTCACTGTCGGTCTGAACAAAAGCTTTGCGTTTCAACTAATTTGAATTTCCCACATATTATTGCACTTTTCTATAATTATTTTCTTAAGGAAAAAGAAATTATATTAAAAAATATTAAGGCTTAATTTAGAATTAATAATGATTATAAAAAAATTTTTTACCTTTATTTAAATCACATGCATATTCCCTATTATAAACTCATTTCTGAGTGTCAAATAATCAATTACATGTACATATACATGTTTGTTACAATTAGTTTGAAAATTGAAAAATATTTAACTGGTTCTACTAGAAAAAACTTTATAAGACTAAAATATTATATGTATAACAACCTTAGTGGTCTAGTGGCTATCATGTACAGTTGCAAGTCTGGAGGTCCTGGGTTTGAGTCCCGGATCAAACCAAGATTAGTTTTTGGGTTTTTCTATTAAGAAATGCACATTAGCGGTCCATAGTTGGTGGTATTACATAAGGATTTTACACTACCAACTACATGCCGCTAATGATTAATTATTTGACTAATTTTATAGCAATAACTATACTTGCTAGAGACAAGGATGCCACGGTCCAGGCCATGGGTGAGCATGGTCATTGTTATAAAATATTGGCAATATATACTAAAATAATATTGACATAAACATGTTAGACACTGGACTGATATGGGATAGATATTATCCTCCTGGGACCCCCGGTGTCACTCACACTTAGTTTTGAATTTATTTCTATGTCACCATATGAAATCTGCTACAACTTTTACCAAAAAAAGTGCAAAATAAAGACATGTATTATCTTTTTTTAAATACATGTCACTCGTGTAATAGTAACACACAAATGTAAATTAATAAGCATTAACAATGTTAAGCAATTAACACCTCCAATTAAATTTCGAAGAAATTAATTAAATTTCTAAGAAATCTATTGTTAACTGACACACCGGTGTGTTCGCAGTCATGGAGGAATAATGCAAATTACAAAATCATATGTTTCAATAACATTTCAACCTCTCTCTCACCAATGATACCCTCTCCCTTTCTCTATGAGGGATAGGGGTAGATTTTATTTGTCTGAGTAACTATAAGTCATATCAAGCTTTAAATATAAGCTTCCATTAGTATAAAATACCTAAATCTTAAGTCTCAGAATGTACACTGTTATTTGTAAGGCACATTTTGATTTTGTACATTTGGAGTGCTGTTTAATAGTCAGATTTGGTATGTATTGCCTCAAAAATATTTGCATTTTTTTAAGATGAATTAAATTGCCATATGTCAACTGCAACTATTGAACTGTCTTACTGGTTTGTATACTTAAAGTCAAAACAAATACTCATAATCTCAATAGATTGTACATATACATTAAAATACTTATTGAACTAAGTATTAAAATACCATGAACATTTAAAGAGGCAGCATGATTGCATTCATCATTTGAACAATAACATTCTTCCCAATAGACTCCATTCTCATAAACACCCCAGTTACAAACTCCTGTAACACCTGTCTCTGCAACTGATGCACAACGCCTTACAACTTGACGCCAACGTCCATCCCCTATAAAGATTTTAAAAGAGCAAATTAATATATATATGTGAGAAAGACTTAGTCAAATATTTAAGCAGTTTAGATAGTAAACATGTATAGCACATATACCTGAGGAACAGTGAAACACGAAGAAAAATATATTATTACAATAATAAAAATAATTTAAGGCAAATAACATTCTCATCCGATATTTTTTACAATACTCCAAAATCATAACTTAAAGTACAATTAATTTATTTCATATATTTCTTTTTTTTAATATTACAGTCTACACGTACAGAATAAACTTACATATAAATCCTTTAGGTCCTTGTTGTGTAAGTTTCATACAAAAAGAACCTGGCATATTAGATTCATCACTGTTACACTCCACTGCAATATGACTATCAGTATCAAACTTCTTGTAAGCGCCACAGGTATCTTCCAATAAGTTTTGAGATGAGGCACATTGGTAACATCTTACACAAAACACTAAAAAAATAATAAAATAATAAACATACCATCTAATCTTTATAGTTGTAGTTGGTTAATGAACTATTACACTATATCTTACCTGCTGGTGTTGTATAAAGAATAAAAAAAGCAATTCCTACAGAGTTCATTTCAATTTTCTGTAAAAAATGTAGAAAATAAAAATAAATATTAACAAACAAAATTCAAACAGACAAATGACACACCCAAGTCCCAAGTCCCAACAAGCTTGACTTTTGAAGTTAGAGTAGAGAGTAGAGACTCGTAGAGTAGTGCAATGCTGCCAGATGACAGTCGTTGATTTACCCGACCAAATACCAATAAATCTCAAAATACCGGTTTATCCCTCCGGCCAACCATTAGCAGAATACCCGAAAATAGTTTTTTTTTTAAAGTAATTTATTCATTTTATTTTATATAGAATAAAAGAAAGCACTACTGTAAGAAAAATAAGTCATTGTAATCAGTTCTTAATTAAACAGCTTTAAATTATTGAATCAAACATTAAAAAAAAACTTAAAATATCAAATTAATCAATTTCCACTAGTACTTGGGGTACTGTAGAGTCAGAAGAAGACCATAATTTGGTTCTCAACATTTGAACACTGGGCTAGGATTTCATGATACCTCTTACTCTACGGATACCTTTCCGCGCGGCCAATATTGCAACAACAGTATATTCTGTGTTTAATGAGTTCCGATGAGCAGTAATAATGTTTTTTAATCCCTCAACGACCGCGGACATGCCGGCGTTACAGTTAACAATAGATTTCTTAGAAATTTAATTAATTTCTTAGAAATTGACCTGGAGGTGCTAATAAATTGTAGTATGATATTGTTTCCAGCTAAACTAAAATACCCGCGTTTACCCCGCTCAATGCAATTACCCGACAAAATTACCCGCCATCAAAAAATTGCCAACTATTACCCGCTTTTCGGGTAATCACCCGCCAATTGGCAACGCTGTTTGTGAACGAAGACTGTAGAATTATTTGTCTACGTTTGTGAACCACTGGCTATGTTAACTTCGAGCTGTTAGTGCTTGAAGATTTTTCCAATGGGAAAGAATTCTGCCTTTTTCTCCCATCAGATGTCACTATCACTATAGCCCTCAGTATATTGTAAAGCTCTGTAGCATGGATGGTTTTTTTTAATTTTATTCAAAATTTAATTAAAATGACAAATTGAGCAGTCCGAGGATGCAAAGAAAATGTATGTAATTTGTTACCAAAAAACAGACAGAAAAACTAAAGAAATTGTGGGCTCAAGTAATAAAACGACTAAAATTGGCGAAATCACAATCTTTATATTTAAGGCTATGTGGACTTCATTTTAAAGAAAGTGACTTTAAAACTTTTAAATCGTTTACACGTGATTTCTTTTAATTTTTTGTACTTTTTTACATATTCTATTAATTACAGAGTTTCATTCAATCTTTAATTTCCTATTTTACGCACCGAGGGGATGAATTTCGAAAAATCGTTTCTTATCGGATGCCTACATCATATATGGAATACGTCCTTCAAATTTCACGTTTCTATGACCAGCGGCTTAAGCTGTGTGTTGATCCATCAGTCAATCAGAACCACCGTAGGATGCACTTCTTCTTCTCAATTCTTCCTTCAGCTGGACTAACTTACAGATACAATACATTGCACAGGTAAGATGCGAATGCAATAGAAGCGAAAAACCAGGTACATATATAAAAGAGATATCACAATAAATTGCTTAACCTCAGACTGAATATAAATAGATCTAACGTGTAGTCTTTTTAGCCTTCTTTTCAAGAAATCTTCTCCATTGACATAATTTAGGTTTTACTCAAAAAAATGTGCATAGATAGGACTTGATACCGCTTAATATAATGTATCATCCGAGGCCTACGCGTCCATATTATTGTAAATATCCGAAACGTACAAACAACAGACGTAGCGTAGGTACATGTGACACAAGATTTCATCGCCATAGATTAAAAGATGACTTCAAATAGTAAATTAAATAAGATAATAGTATGAGATGGCAAAAAAGTACCTAGTAAGAAAGTGCTTCCTAAGCTTTTTCTATTCTATGATGAAAGCTATCACTATGAAAGTTCGAAGTTGTAACTTTTAAGTTGTCAAATAACAACTGTCAAAAACTTTGACAAGTAAAGAATAAAGTGTAAACTACGAAAACTTCGTAGTTCGTTGTTTCATTTGTATTTGTATTGTGTAAACTTTTTCTAATATATTTACTTTACATATTTAAAATGATATTTTGTCTGAAATATATTATTTCTGCCTTATTTATTCTAAACTTTATATCGTGTGGTAATAATTTTGGATTTTATAGCATCTTATTTAAATGGTCACGCCCAAACAGTCGTTTCTTTCATATCAATTTACCTACTTTGCGAAATCTAGATAGTGATTTTTTTGAGAAAGCTATATATTTGGTCTTACTAATACTATATTAGCAAAATTCTATTTATAGTTATAAGAAAAAAAAGAAAGCCATATATATATATATATATATATATAATAATGTCATAATATGAAATACATTAATACAAAGGGTTTGGGCTTTCAATAGTTTCCAAGGGATCTGTTAGCTCTTGTTGAATTTTCATATTCACCTTTTTTTCAGTTTTATGTATTAAATGTTGGAACTGTAGATCCAATAATGATCCAAAATGTGCTGATCCATTTGATAATAGCACTGTCCCCATAACAGATTGTGATCAAGAGAGGGGTTTGCCGCATTTACCGGGTGTACGACCAAGCATGTGCCGCAAAATAAGACAAAAAGGTATGTTAAATTAAATATAACATATTAAAATCTTTACTTCTCATATATTTTTAAATATTTTTCATTACAAAATCCATTCTGGTCTTTGATTTACATTAAAATTAAAAACGGTAAAAGAATCTAGTGCAGGTATTTAGATTTCTATACACAGCGTACTTTCCCGAAAATGATGTAAAATTTTCTTTTTGTTTTCAGTAAATGGGGAATGGCGTTATTTCAGAGATTGTGCTTATCTAGGTGAAGTAGGTATTCAGGGAGATGAAAGATTTTGTTTGATGAGAACGGGTACATATAATATTTTCATAGAATACTGTACATGTAAGAGTAAAGATGGATGTAATACATCAGCTTTGATAAGTCCTTTGCCAGTTCTTGTCCTCATTTCTTCAATATTCTTGTATTTTAAAACTTCATAAATGCTCCCTCAGATACCTCTAATAAAAGATATTAAATTTTAGTTAAAAAAAAATTACCATGTTCTTCAATATATTTAGCAAAATCTATTTTTTTTATATTGGTTATAAAGCAACTAGTAGAAACTCTATATAATACAATTCTAGCCTGATTGGACAGATATCGGATAGTTAACAAATATTTTATCTCTTAAAGCAAAAACCACCTAAAAAAATAAATTACTTAACAGCAGTTGGTTCACCTATCCTCCTACACTGTCATGTAGAATAATTATAGTCACTCTCAATAGCGAAATAATATAAATTGCCCATGACCTGTCAAACTAATTATAAACTATAAAAGTTCAATAATACATATTATCAATATTAAGGAGTTATAATATTTAAAATGAAAATCAATATGTACATGTTTCATGTTGGGTTTTTTGTTCTCCATTATCATCCTTCTCCATTCACTAATTAATTATTATTGAACACAGAAATACTCTCGACTCTAATTTTTGCTATATAGAGTTTCAATCGCATAGGTGTATTATTAATGTTTTATACTGTTTTTTATACCTTTGTGTCAATAACTATCACACAAATTTTATTAGATATCTACATTCACACCAACGCAGTACAAAGTAATATTTACATTAAAAAAATATAAAGTGAAACTCATGTGAATTTAAAGAAAAAAAAAACACAAAGAAATAGCAAAGAAATAACAGAAGCGTGTTAAGATTTTCCATACTTATTTTGTTTATATACTTTTTTAATTATTAAATTTGACAGCAAATTTATTTCATATTGACTGGTAAAAGATTCAAGTTATTGTTATAATGAATATTATAATAGTGTGCAACAGTAATATATGACAGTATGAAGACTGACAATTCCGTCCACTGTAATTTTTAAGATAAATATAAGTGTTTGAAATACTTTGGGTTATTTATTTTTTATAATGTCCTGGTATGATTCCTATACAAAAAGACGGCATGCCGTCAGAGGGCAGGGTAGGTACTGTGACATTAATAGTCAATAAAACCACAGCCACAAATTATAATATTATACCACTGAACCTACCGTTGCGATAGTGTTAACTGCAATAGTGTAGGATCCATATTAGAATTTAGAACCATATTCTTGGCTGCGTGCAGCCAGAGCGTAGCAGTCATACGTATTTTACGTTGTGATTTTTTTTTTACAAAATCGTCATCCGTCCCGTGTGTCGTCGCCATGGCTGCTCAATTTTTCGCCCGCCGCAGCCAAGCTACCTAGTGTGTGGGGGGCCTTATCGCACGCAGTACTTCGCAGTTCGCCAGCCACCACGCGGGCCGCTTCGCCGAGTCGAAATCAGTCGGGAGAACATTTTAATGTATATTATAGATGGCCCTTACATCATCCAAAGTAATACTTTACATGTTAGAAGATATTACGGATTTAAAAAATTTGCATAACAATATTACGTAATTTTTTGACTACATCGTAATAACCATGATTTAATTATAAATGCGTCAGTATATGTATCTATATATATATTATATATATATATATATATATATATATATATATATATATATATATATATATATATATATATATATATAGTTTTTTTTGTTTAATTATCGATATTTGCCGTTCGTTAGTCTCGTTAAAACTCAAAAACGGCTGGACCGATTTCAATATTTTTTTATATAGGAAAACCCCACAAAAACAGCTGGAAAATCTAAAAGTTCAGAACTGTTTACTTTGTACCTATATATTTATAATATAAAGTCTATCTATTCTATACTAACCGTTAAAACGTACATAGGGATCAACCCGAGCGAAGCGAGGGAGACTCGCTATTTAATAATAATTTGTTAGTTTTTGTGAATTAACTGTCGCTCACCCTATTATTATAAATAAGCATGGCAGTGGTAACTCAGTGGTAATGCGCTCACTTGGGAAACCTAGTAAAGCGGGTTCAAATCCTGGGTACCTCGCATCTCTGATATTTTCATGTGCAAATAATTCCTAATATGATTACTACTTGCCCTACGGTGAAGGAAATCATCATGAGACATGTTTCTCAACCTAGCGAGTTTTCGAAAGACGCGCCAGTCCTCACTTGGCTAGTGTGGTAGACTATAGCCTGATCCCCCTCGTATTGAAGGGAGGCCCGTGCCCAGCAGTGGGACGTTAAAAAGAGTTGAATACACTTATAAACGTAAAATTTTGAGTGTGTTTCTTACTTCACGTTGTAACTGCTTGCTTTTGTTAGAGAACTTACGTACTAGGTACCTATGTATTATAATTTATAACATGTTTAATTCCACCTGAGAGACGTCGCGGGTAATTACTTGCCTAAAAAAGCCTAAAATTATTAGAATGAAGTTACTTTGAAGAGCAAAGAATTTTTTGTGGTTTTAGTGCAAACAAAGCTACGGGTTCTGCTAGTCTAGTATATATATAAAAATTTAATTCGCGATAAAATATTTGCTTGTTTTTCATAATATCAATTTAAAAATGGTCTCACGATTTAAGCATAATATTATGTTAAACAATTGAGTTTTTAAGACTATAATAAGTATAATCTACAAAGATCTTCATTAACGATAACTAAAAAATTTAATTAACTTATAAGGTTAATTCAAATAATACCTCCAGGTTTTCTAAGATATTAATTAAAATTCTAAGAAATCTATTGTTAAATGACACGCCGGCGTGTCCGCGGTCGTGGAGGGAATAAATTGTAATCTATACATATAATAAAATTGTAACAAAGTCGAATCTGTGAAAAAATACAAAAGTTTTAGTGTAAGAGTAGGTACACTAATATGTAAAGCCTAAGAATTTGGTTTTTGGTCATCTGAACGCGGGCGGAGCCGCGGGCAATGCTAGTAATAAATAATGATATATGTAGGTATGTGTATATTCCGGGTATAGTATACATCTGTATTAGAAGAGCAAAAATGAGGTCCTAAAGGTAACTACTAAAGAAGGATAAGATGAAATATAAACGTCGCTGGGTGTTAAGCAAAGATACGCCCTTGGGCAGCCTGTAGAGGTTTACTATGCCGTTGGTCCTAATACTTCTCTAATAGAAGAATTGAACGTGAGAGCAACTCGTTGGTGTTTCGGCAATCACACATGTCGAGGAGACGGCCCACCTCTGTGGGTGTGGAGCGGTGTGCCATGTGGGTTTTTCCTCCTCCTCTCCAAGAAAATTAAATGCCAGGCGTCGAGTTTTCGTGGTTAAGTATGTAAGTGATCCTAAAATGCCCAGGAAAGGTTGTTGGGTTTTAGTGGGTAGTGCCTACTGGCTTTTTTCGCCGGTAAGTCACCGCATAACTATCTGTAGGCTGTATGTATGCAGGACGCAGTAGGTATGCGTAAATGCATTACCCAACGTTAAAGTACGAGTATTTACTAAAATATTCTGTGCCGAATAGTTAGACAGGAACATTGCGCTTATGATATTGGGGGTTCTGGGTTTCAAATTAAAAAATACACTAACTTTTTTTTACTAACCCCCGACGCAAAAACGACGGGGTGTTATCAGTTTGACGTGTCTGTATGTGGCATTATAGCTCCCGAACGGATGAATCGATTTTTATTTTCTTTGAAAGGTGAATTAGGCGGGAGTGTTCTTAGCTCTTTGATGAAAATAGGTCCAAGATGGCCGCCGTCACAAGATGGCGGATTATAACATATTTTTTCTCAATTTTAAATTGTATCAAATGAAAGGGCTTGCACTAGTAGAATACACTATGATAAATTTCAAATCCAAGATGGCCGCCACCACAATGGCGAATTACATGTCAGGGATTTTTTAAGATTTTAATTTAGTTATTTTTCTATAACTGAACAAAATATTACCAAATTGCTAAAAATTTTTAACAAATAAGGAATTTTAAATAATTATAATATATTAATCATTTGGCCCAATTCGATTTGTCATTATTTGTTCAGACAAGGCATTATAAAATATAGTGCCTCAATTAATCACTTGGCCCATGACATATATACCCCTTTAAGGATATCAACACAATACGATACGGCGTGTTACAATGTCGTCTGTATTTTTTCATAGATACTAACAGAAGCAGTTGTATTTTGCTTAATAACTTGTAAAGTTAAATCCCATGAATGTAATAATTGTGTTGAATCTATTGCGATAACTTTCAACAAAGCTGAAGGCATCGAGATTCCTTTGATTTGTTAGGTCGGTCGATACCTATATTGAGAGGAAAATAAAACAGTATTATTTAAAGAAAACTTTTAATAAAATACAGAATTAGAGATAAAAAATATTTTGTACTGTAATATTTTATAAAGAGATTCTGAAAGAAATTTAATGCATAACTGAAGACAGACATTTTTAATAAAAAATATAGATAATTAAGGGTTCACAAGTAATATCATCTTAAAACATAAATTACTATAATAAAAAAAAGAATCAGATTTAAAAGCAATATTTACAACAAAATCTTATAAACTAACAAATTGCTTATTAATTGTTAAGAAAAATTACAACAAATGTACCCCATAAATATTATTATGTTAGTAATATCGAGACTGAAGTGCACATTCAAAGCTAAGATAAAATAATACAATATTCAATTTTAACAATAAATTTAGAATATAATATAATTTAAAAAAAAATAAGTCAAAATTGGTAATTTGAAATAAAAGTTTAATTTCACTGTTCTGAAAATTTAATCGAAACAATGCTGCCATATTTTTAAGAAATGACATCAGGCATGTTTAAAATACTATACATATTTATGTTGCATTTGGTTAACGGTGGGCACATGGCTTGGTGTGGTCCCCAAAATACTTATAATAGATCTATTTTACTTAAAAAGGAGCACTCCAAGGGGTGCAATAATCAAAGCCATGGTCATGCCAATAGCCGAAGCGCCGTTACAGGCATCACTAGTGCAGGTTTCACAGAACGTTGTGACCTCATTTATACCACTTGATGACTGACTGGCACAGGAGTTGGAGTAGTCATCTCCACGTTTCCATGTGCACCCACGAGATACCACCAACTGGCTTCCAACTAAAATTGAATGAAAAAATGAATTAAATAGTGTTTATTGGATTATAAGAAGATATAAAGAATAGATTTAATTTTAAAGTATACAATCGACAGCCATAATCTTAAAGATAAGTCTCTTCCATGTAACTGGTAAGGTAAAGAACCCAAAAATATTTAACTGGAAGAAGTGAAATTATAATTCTACCTTATTTTTTTGATTGAATTATTGAAAATATTGAAAAAAAGATAACGGAACTCTATTTCTAAAGGTGTGAAAAGAAAAATAATGAATAAAAAATTAACAATAACCTGGAAATATTTCTTATTTTTCTTGGAAAATCTACTACAATTTTCCGATATTTATTTAATATCAAAATGTATCTATTAATCTATTACTTTATTACATTATTACTGTTTAATAGTATGTTGCCATATTAAAAACCAAATTAATTATGCGATGTTTTCACCATAGATATAACTATTTACATATATAATATGTAGCTTATCTTCATAGTAATTGATTAGTCTTTATAACAAGCTATGAGTTACAATAAAAGCATTTGCCATAATATTCAAATCCATGCTAGATACAACTCAGGTTTATTAACGCCAATTTGTTGTGACCTCGGCTTACTCGGGCACGACTAGAGGCCATGATTTCGTTACGATTAGTGTTGTATGTGTAATGAAACACCATAAACAAAGTATGTTTGAATCTTTTTTTTTATAATTCTGATCTATGAGTATAATTAAAAAAAAATTGTCTCACTTGTAAGGTTTTTATAAGAACAAAGTAAGGGATCACGTGTTATGGAAAATAATAGATCAATTATAATAACAATTGAATGTTAAACTTCACAATGTTGGCTCATACCTGTGGTAACTAATAGACGTAGGTAGACCTACCCACTAGTAGTTACGTTGCAATACTAACCTTATCGTAAGATATTCATTTCATGATGATGAAGTATCAAATTCTATTGTCTGGTCGTTTTAATAAAATGTGTTTTTATAGATACTTTACAATGTTTATAAATAAATATTACATAAAACTAATTTTGTCGGTTAATTCATAATTAAGATAATAAATAAAATTATAATAATTATACACTTGTTCATGAACTAGGTACAACGTGAGAAATTCATACATTTAATCGCGACCTTGGCTAATTATCACTTTTATAATAATAAGGAAAATGACGTAAGCATCGCATGAGTAATTTGGGCGAGGATCATTGAAATGTGTACTATCTTGAGAACATCCTTTATTTGTTATTTGCATAATATATAATAATATCTATACATATAATAAAATTGTAACTAAACCGAATCTGTACATTAAATATTTTTTGGAAAATCTTATTGAAATATACATTATTATCGATACAGAGGCCGAATCTATAGTTTTTAGAATTTTTGTCTGTCTGTCTGTTACCGCATCACAAAAAAACCACTGGAGGGATTTTGATGAAATTTGGTATGGTGATAGCTAGTTATCCGGGTCAACATATAGGATATTTTTTATCACGGGAAAATATCTGATTTCTGAGAAAAAATACAAAAACTGCAATGTATAAGTATACTAATATGTAAAACCTAAGAATTTGCTTTTTTTTCATCTGAACGCGGGCGGAGCCGCGGGCAATGCTAGTATGCTCTATAGATTCGTAAATATTTACATGATTTTTCACTCATGTAAAATTAAAAAACGTTTTTGCACAAATCCCATATCAATAGATAACTTTATTTAAACTTTAAAGATTGAATTTTCTTAAAGTATTTATTTGTCTGAATACTTATTTTCATTTAACTCGTTTTCTGTTCTCATTTTCAGTACATCTTTTAATTTAAGGCTATTATTTTCCGCTCATAAAGTCAACCAAATGTGGTGTTCCTGACAATTATTATGAACAAAAGAATTGTAATAACACATAATATGTTACGTTTGGAGGACGTTTAGATGATTTGGCAAATGCTGAATGACTGCTAAATACTTAAACTATGGTCGAGACCTCATCACATAGTATAGTATAGCTTAAGAGCGTGAATCATTTACCTGCGGTTTTATAAATTGTATGATACATTAACTACATCGTTAACGTAAACATAATAATTTTTCCAGTAAATTAATTTAAACTATTTTAAATGGCGTCTACTTCCTTTTTAATTAGTACGTGAATAATGATTCATAAGACACCTATGACTAACTATGCCTTATTATTTAAATATAATAATATTTTAATTACTCTTACCATATTTCTTTTGCTTTTTACATGCTGCCATCGACGAGGACAAGTAGGGGTATGAGGCACCGGAACTTGCATCGCAGTATTCTAGGCGGAAAAGGCCTGAGCTTTCAGGCGCTCTATCAGGTAGAAAAGGGTCATTACAGTATGGATTTAGATCCGATGAACATGTCCAACAACGAACTGCTTCACCTAGAAAGAAAAAGTAATTTGTTATGAGTATTTGGTGGCATCTGTATTGTGCAATACATAAAGCTGTATAATTTATTTCTTGAATCTGTGGAAGTATTTTTCCGTTTCATAGCCTTTTTATTGAGAAAGTTTATAGGTTAGCATCACGCTACCAACGACGATGGAGCGGAGCAACTCTACATGAATAAAGAAACGCGGATGGAGTTAAAAAATTATTGTGCTATCATATTTAACTTTCCATAAATTCTCATTAAAATTTTAATAATTTTCTTCAGAAAATGAGTATTTATTTACAATTTATAATAGAACATATTTTACCTATTTTTCAACTATTAAATCCAATGATATAAAACTATCGTACTAGGTACTAGAGGAAAACATCTTGTATAATGAGTTCATATGAACACGTGATACCTATTGTCATAGGAAATTTTCCTGCACCTAACTCGACTTGTCTGGGAACTTTAAGTATTTGAATTGTGTTAATTATATTTTTTTTATAAAAAATAATACCTGCGCGTTATTCAGTAAGCAGAATGATATTATAAATACATATACAAAAAATACATGAATTTAATGCAAATATGTACCAACTTAATAATAATAAGAATTATAAATATATATGTTGGGACACGAACACACGATCACTGGCACAGCAAGTAGGGTGAAGGGTCACTACAAACTGAGCCAAAGGTGTCATTATTATTTTATTTATTTAATTTTGGAACATTTGCTTCTTTTATATAGGTATAACTACTTCCTGTAATATTTTTGTTAATCGCGATAGTTTATTAAATATTTTCAAACGTAGCTTCTTTAAATTATGTTAAAATTTTAAAACATATTTTCTGGCTATTATTATGAAGGCAATAACAATTACATCTATATGGAACATTTATTTCATAGAATAATATTGGGCAAAAAATGACTTTGAAATATACAGATTTAATTTGAGTAAAAAATTATTGTGACTACAGCCTAATATAACCTTCGATACTTGTTAAGATACCTAAAATGCACTAGTGAACATTTTATTTATATAGGTAGGTATATCCATTTGTACTTGATTATATGTATAACATAATAAAGTTAATAATAGAAAAAATCGAAAAATATGAGAATGATTGACGACACGTTTTGCTCAGTTTGTAGTTGTACTTGCTGTGCCAGCGGTCGCGGGTTCGAGTCCCGCTGGTGGCATTCATTTGTGTAATGACGAATGTTTGTACTCCAGTCATGGGTATTTATATTTAAAATATGTATGTATTTAAAGTTATATATGTATCAACTATCTGGGATCCATAACACAAGCCTCGTAGCTTATCATGGAATTAGATAGCGCTGTGCGTTAATGTCCCAACATATTATTAAAAAAATAACATTAATATAAGATTAATATTTTTATCATTTTCAATTTTATGTATCATCAATCAGTTTTATGCATAATAATTTTAAATTAGCTATCTATACAGTAAAATTCTATTTCAATATTTTTTGGAAAATCTTATTGAAATTATAATAAATAAACAGAGGCCCAATCTGTAGTTTTTAGAAATTTTGTTTGTCTATCTGGGAACGTATCACGACCGCTGGACAGATTTTGATGAAATTTGGTATGATGATAGCTGGTTATCCGGGTGGTCGCAAATCGTTAAACCCCAGAAAGTTATGTGTTTGTATTTTCTATTCTAAAGTATATTAGTAAGCAATCCCGGAGTTGTTCAATCAGTCTGTTTCTTATAGACTAGTAAAATGTTATCTGTGCGATTACGTTAAATTAAATGTAGGTACTTATAATATATATTTTTGTTATTTTATGCAATTCCTATATAGATTGAATACATAATATATTATGACTCAGGTAAGTATTTGCTCGATGTTGAGATAATTTTGCTCGTTTATTTATGTTTCATATCTATGTCTCTAGAATCAATAACGTGTTACATGACAGAATAATAACTGGGTATTTATTATTTTTATGCTTGTTAGTTAATAGTTATTAGTGATGAAAAAGAAGTATTTGCGAACATTAACTCATTCACTCACTCATCAGGCACCTTATAATAAGCTCTATTGCATTGTTATACAACTGTTGTGTTTATTTGTTAAAATTAAAAATATTTAAATATCATATTATATATATATATATATATATATATATTATATATATATATATAATAAAATCAAAGCAAGTTTATGCTCAAAGTCAAGACGAAGTCACAAGTTAGAATCATCGTTATTCGTTTTTTTAAATTGTTTTAAAATCCGGTTTTATAAGGTCTTCTATAAACTCAAGGTTCTAGCCGCGATGATTGATTCGTGTTTTTCATACGGACACGCTACGATGATGGTTGACAATGGAAACTAGTCTTAGCTTATATAATAGGTAGCTGTTTACTTGTATTGTGGTCACGCGCAATGGGACAGTAATTTTCATTTATGCACTGGTCACGTATAGTATTTGTACGTCTTACAGTAATTCGTACCGCTTTCTGTTTAAAAAAATTGCATGATAGGACTATATAAAAAAAATTGTTCTAAGGAACACCTATAAGTAATGAATGTTAGTAGGAATAACGGTTGGTACGTTTCTTTAATTGATATTAGGTGCGTGGAATATATTATGTGCCGTTAAAGTTAAACTTTAGAATTTATATCGCGTTCAGATGACCAAAAACCAAATTCTTAAGTTTTACATATTAGTATACTCTTACGTTGCAGTTTTTGTATTTTTTCTCAGAAATGAGATATTTTCCTGCGGTAAAAAGTATCCTATATGTTGACCCGGATAACCAGCTATCATCATACCAAATTTCATCAAAATCCCTCCAGTGGTTTTTCCGTGATGCGGTAACAGACAGACAGACAGACAGACAGACAAAAATTCTAAAAACTATAGATTCAGACTCTGTATCGATAATAATGTCAATTTCAATTAGATTTTCCAAAAAAAATTAATGTACAGATTCGACTCAGTTACAATTTTATTATATGTATAGATATACATATCCATATGTGTATCGAACGTTCAAATCTCACACGTACGAAGTTGTGGGTAATGGCTGCTATTATATAAACTTGCCATTAAAAAGTAATAAATTATGATATTTTTAAATTAGATATTACGTTATCGTTAAGCTATTGGGTCGCATTTTAAAACTCGATATTGCGTTATCTTTACAGACTTTAAAACATACTCAATTTTTTGTATGTTTTATATTTCAAGATTTCAAAGAATAGTTGAAAGGTCATTAATACTGAGCTTTTATTTTACTTCTGTTATTCAAGGACAATAACAAAAAATCTAGCTATTGCAGTTTGATATGCACGTAACACTACATAAGATGGAGTCCGATCTGACGTATGTATAATGTATAAATATGTACTATATATTTTTCGCAATCGCTCATTATGTATCTTTTGATTTCTATAAATGTGATACACGTGTCCACAGTTTATTACAATTTAATTTAGGTTACTGGGTTATGAACCGTGTCGCAGGTGCGTAAACTCTACACACGTAACTCGGAAAAGGAAAGTTATAGTAGCCACTTTTCATTTTAATGTTATTTACTTAACTTAATTTTCAATTCATATATAATAGTAGTTATTGCCAACGAAATTTTAAAATATTAACTTTAAATATTCTACACTTTGACATAATTATAATAATTAAGTATATATTAATTAGATACTTAATCATAATATATATTCCCAAAACGAATTCCCCTATTAGTGTTGTCGTGTAAAGGTACCTATGACTAAACTAATTATATAATTAAAACAGTTAATTATTATATAGAGTATTCAAATGTATCTTATTCCCAAACCCCATAAAACCAGGGATAGATGTAATAAAAGTTACATTATGAGTCGGTGTGGCCTCCCATAAATTTAGCTACATGTAGTAAAATAATAATAGAGACGAGTCCGTATACAGGCAGGTCGATGATAACGAATCACTGCATTATCAACGGCAATAGAAACACTTGCTAAGTTTCAAGTCAATCTATACGAATATTATAAAGAGGTAAAGTTTGTGAGGTTGTGAGTGTGTGACGTCGTAGGTGGTAATCTCTGGATCTACTGAACCGATTTAGATGAAATTTGGTAAGAAGGTAGTACTTTTTATCAAGGAAATCATCCCTTAAAGGGCTGAAAATGGGGATGAAAGCTTGTATTGGGAAGCAAGCTAGGGACAAACCCGAGCGAAGCGAGGGTGAGTCGCTAGTATGACAATAAAGAAGTAGGTTAAATTCATCATCAGCTATTTTTCCACCCTTAGGGGTGGTATTTTTTTTAATTTATATGAGACCCAACTGGAAGTATACACTTTTAATCAAAACAAAAATTGTCCAAATCGGTTAATAAATGACGGAGTTCTGAGGTAACAAACAAAAAAAATACAGCCCAATTGAGAACCTCCTCCTTTTTGTAGTCGGTTGAAAATATAAACACTTACAAACATTACTTTTTTAATTTAATTGGCAGAATAACAAGAGAGCTTCAAACAATACAATCGACCCATTTTACTATCCGGTTCCATATACAGTTGGAATTCCCATCCCAAATCTATATTTAAGTAATAGTAAACAATGAAAAAATTTAGAGATTTTATCACATTCTTGTAAATATATTCCTGATTTAATCTCTAGCGTTTCCGTGGGATTTCGAAAGCTTGAACACGCGCCAACATCACGGTAGCCAAGGAACGTTAACGTATATGATACGTATGTTTATCATATGAAAAGATAGTAGTATAGTGTGATTTACTGAAATCTACTACTTTTTCAGGCTGTCATCGGACCACTGTTATAAATGCGGAAGTGTATATGGGTTTTGTCTTTTTAACCGACTTCCAAAAAGGAGGAGGTTCTTAATTCGTTGGATTTTTTTTATGTATGTTCACCGATTATTTCTCTTTTACGCTGTAACAGCTGGAGGGATTGAAATGGAATTTAATACACAGGTGGTATATCACCTGGAGTAACACATAGTAAGGCACCTAGGATCACACCCGAGGGAAGCGAAAACAAGTCGCATTCTAATTTGAATATATATACCTATGTTGTGTTAGAAGTCATAAATTTAATTAATTTTTGTTAATTAAAAAATACTTTTATATCAATTTTCGGTTTCGGCGCCATTTACAGACTAGCTAATATTGCATGATATATTATAGTACAATATAACTAAGTGTGTGCGCAAACACAATAGTTATACTTTCTATTAGGTACTTTTACTCTCATATTCTGGTAATCTGACACAACCACCGAAAGGTCACCAGAGCGCAAGACTGACAGATTTATAGGTGCTCTTTGAGGAATTTTAACATTCTAAGAAATAATCCGGAACCCGGACTCAACACAAGGTATCGGGATCTGAAGTTGTACATGCTAGCCACTAGCCACGAGGCAGTTTTAACTGAGTAAATTTACTCAAGTTATAAACGCGACAACCTTTTTTATTTGGGTTGTCTTTGAAAGTTTTTTTGCATTGGCCAGCGAGTGACTTTGGGAGTTTTTTATCTCGGTATGTGCATCGAGTACTTTTGTAGGTCTTTTTTTTTGGCTTGGAATTGCGCATTGGAATCTATTGAATATTAGTATTCAGTACATCGCAAACAATTATTATAGACAAATCCATTTTGGCAAATAGTGTTTTAACAATAAAAATATTAGATTCATCAACTTTCTCACAACCTTACAAATCAGAATTTGTAAATTAAGCAGTAAGTACTTATCGATCAAGAATTTTATAAATTCCTAAAAAGCACATCACTGGCTTAAGTGTTTAAAGAATAGTGATTAAGTACTACTTCTTTTTATTGATATCATCAATCACTCTTTTATTCTACAACAATATGAGAACTTCGTGTTGATACGTGCATGGTACCTTTTGCCAAGCAAACAAATCGTCTGATGAAATGATAGTGATGCCAAGTAACCGGTATCACACCTATTTTTGTTTATAATAGTCACACAGAAATTTTATGTTCCAAGTCTTGTGGAAACAGGATTTCATCGTTATACATATATGTATGATAAAATCCTGTTATATCTGTTTACGTGAACACCATATTATATAGAGAAATTATTTAAAAAAATATTTTATTTAAACCAATCAATTTAATGATTATAAGCTTGTTATTTGACGGATTATAAATAATCAGGTACTTTTAGTACTGTAAACAAATTAAGATAAATATTTTATTACACTTTATTAACGAGTCAAATGTATTTTGTGCTTACCAAAGAGTTGTTTAAGTTACAAAGACCTTTTTTTCGTTTTAATTTCTTGTAACATTGAATAAACGAATGGAACATAAAGCAGATACTTTATAGTAAGGGGAGTATATTATTAAAGAAGCCCAGACATTAATTACATTAAACTACTTTCATACAAAAGAGCAATTTGTTCTTCCGGCACTTACGAGTCCTCGATGTCATTTCTTTTTGTTATAAGCTCTATAGCAAAACGTCAAACATGACATCGACTTCCAAACAAGAATTGACACTTGTCAAAGAAATTAATAGCAATTTAATTTATAAACTTTAGTTTAACCGCTATATTAGTCGAATTAAATGTCAAATTGTACTTAATAAGGCCTTTTTAATTATATCTTCAGCAAGATTAGTGGACAACATGTTCTGGTCGTATATATATTAACATGTGCAACAACAACATAACAACATTAAGCTAATTTGTGCGGTTAACGACTAACATGACCTGTTCTAGAGACCTCGGTCATGTTGACCAAGGGTCATGGCTCATTAATGATATACCTTTTAAGCTTATTAAGATAATATGACAAAATATGTGGTGAATATGCATATCCTAGTGAATCACTCTTATTATTGTTTACCAAATCAGTATAAACCAAACCTATAAAAACCAGTGAATAAATATTAATTTGTATAGTTAAGTAATTTATTATAGGCACTATAATAACTATACTTCTATACTTCTAAGCAACTTTTATCATTACAATAGTTGAATAATAATTGACGTGATTTGCCACTATTCAATCAACAATGGTTGTTAATGTTATATTGGGGTCATGACTTTTTTATTAAATTCAATGAAAAATATGCGGGCTTGAGATAAAGAAATTGTCTTTTATCGTATCGTAAAAATGTACAAAAGAGATATTTCTATCGGTCAGATCTATTTAATTTGTGATATAAGGGTCTTATACAAAAATGTACTACCTAGATGTTTATTTTACGTTTCTCTTGTGTATGCTTACGTCATTACGCGAGTAGTAAAAGAATATTTGGAACGGAAATTTGTTGACGTAACCTACGCTAATATCACTTTCAAGACACGTCGTGAGCATAACATATTTTATTAGTACTGTTTACTCAGCAATCGTCCATGAAAGGTAAAATGAATTCATAGCCTAAATACGTAATAGATATTTGAGACAACGTTTTAAAGTTCTTTATATTAAAAATATAAATATTTTTATTTTTATAAAATCCATGCATATTGCATTTTGATACTGACATTTTAAAAGTTTTAATCGTTGTATTCATTATTTATCGATTATATTTTAATTGACATGACACATCATGGAATCGATACTTTTTAAGTAATCCTTAAAGTTTTTTTTTTGCATAAAAAAAACTTTTATGCCCGATTTCACCAATGTCACCTAAGTTTAAGGGATCCCCTAAGCATGTAGGGGGCTGTTAGGGGACAGTTTCTGTTTCACCTACAGTTAGGAGTCTAAATGTTAAAAAGGCCCCCTAAATTTAGGTGCTCGAAATCGGGCATTAGTCAACTATAACCTGCGACATAGTGAAATAAAAATGTAGGTACCTAAACACGCAATAGCATGGCAGTAACCCATACTGTATAGAAAGGGCCCCATGTCAATGGTGTCATTCTTTAAAAGTGAAAGTCCGAATAACAAACCATCATGAGATACGATCTTAAAATGAAGCCCTGAATCACGACGTAAACAAATTATTTTGCGCGTAGGTTCAATGGAAATAAAATAAAAGCAATGAAAAAGGTTCTTATATTTTGTTCTTTTGGATTCTGTAAAATGTAATGATATATTGATTATTATAATAAGAATAAAATTTACCAATAAAATTGGTTATTGCGTTTTATAATTTAATTTAGACCTTTTGATTTTTATCCATTGCGTTGTCATGTGTTTATTAATTAGTTTTATTTTCATTTGATTACATAAAACCTACTTATGCTGCTGCAATTTACCAAACCATTTTAAAATCAAGTTTTAACAAAGACACCTTTTACGACGATTCTAGATAAAGTATTGATGTATGTAGGTCAGCATTTATGTACCTATTACATCAGGTGTATGTTTTTTGTTGTTACGATATTTTCTATCGGATCGTTTTATATTTTTATTTTTTTAAATCATTTCCCTGTAGGTATTTTCTCCATTATAATATTTTGAAACGCCGCGGACGCGTAATTATTTTTAAATAAAATAAGAACTAAATGCACGTTAAAAGATTTGGCGCTTGTTGACCGGCCTTACCGGTTTTATTCAAGGTTTTGTTGTACACATAAATATAATATACATAAACGGTCAACAATTTTGTAACACCCATCGTGTTATGGCGTAGGTACTGCGTAGTGACCAATATCTTTGTTTTACCATAGAACTACAATGGAAGTTGCGAACTTACCATATTTATTTATTTAATTTATTTATAAAATTAACTACGTTGTCTAATAGGTACGTTTAATGTTTATATATTAGCCATGTTATTGTTCCCAACCTATATTATGTACATAAGCCATGGCCACTACAATAAAAACAAAGGTTAGACATAATATAGGCCTGGAATTAAGATATTTAATCATTATGATTATTATTTTAATTTTTAAGTCAGTTTGAAAAAAATTGAACCGTTTTTCACGTTTATATAACGAAATCATCATTAATTATTATTAGATATTATTAGCTAATAGCTAAAAAAAAATTGTAAACATGTACAATACGTAATTTTACGTTTATATTTTCCAATCACCTTTACAAACCAAACAAACTGCCCAAACAAGTCGCAACGTAAACAAGTATTTTTTATTTGTTTCACATAGCAGAACTACCTTAACTTCTAGAATAATAAAAAATATACTAAAAACTTACCACTATTGACATATAAGGCCACCAACAATACAGGCACTATGATGGAAATTTTTGCCATTTTTGTATGCGGGCACTGAATTATTTTTTAATAACACGCGAAATAGATGTGTTTTGATTCCGTGGCGGGAAGCGAATGCCAAAGACCGAAGCGTACGGCCAACAGCAAACTGATTGTGACATAAGTGAAGGGAACTTTTCTACTCTGTGGATCAAATTTGTTTTACCGCGAATTCGCTCTACGCATACACTGCGTAGTTTGCGGTTTGCCATAGACTAAAAATTAAAATAATTTCAAATCAATTTATAAATGCAGATATTAGTAGTACATATAGAAACTTATATAATAAATTGCTAATTTTCTAAAAATATTGTACACCATATTATAAGATATATTAAATGTTTTTATCTTTTAATACTAAAATGTAGTGGTTAATTGTAGTGGTAAATGGCGAATGCAGAAAAAGGTACAACAGTGCATTGAAATGGTAACAAAAATTTACATAGTAAAATCGTAAACACTAAAAAACATTATTAATGTTATAAGTAATAGATATCCTTATAAAGAGTAATTAATATTCGAAGACATCAGATGTGAGATTGATATAGTTTGGATCTGTTTACCACTTAAGAACTAAAAAAGATTTCAAAATCACCTATTAGGCAAGAACTTTTTGAAATTTTTATTGGACTATCCTTTTCGTGTCTATTTAAAAAAAATCATTAAAAAACGATTTACTATTTGCGATAACAAAAAGTAACATAATACCTATAACAAAAACATCAATTAAATTTTGAAGTCGGTCAAAAAAAAAGATAGTAAGTTTTTACACGTTAGTTCTGTGTCCTGAATCACGACTGTTTTTTATTTGGGTGGTTAATAATAATAATATGTATAGCATTTATTTCAACCATCAAGGATCATAATTTTGTTATTACACATAATAACTTATGTTAGTAGCACACTTAAAAATTTTGACTACTTATTTTTAGTGATGATGACGAGAAGTCACCGATTCCGGCCACGGCGGCCAATCTCATAGAGATTAGCCAACTGCGCAGGAGATATTATAGTGCACAAGTGTACGCGCAGACACAACGTGCACTCTCTATTCCTGTCACTCTCATACTCCGGTGGGACGACTGCTCGACACGACCAGTGAGAGTTAAGGCGCAGGACGGACGGCTTTACGTGCTTACGGGTGAAACACCGCCAACTTCCCAACTCGGGGCTGTTACTGAGACTTACTATACAGAAAGACTCAATAACTAAACTAGGCCCAACCCGGGACTTGAACCCAGGACCTCCGGGTGTGCAGCCGTACATGCTAGCCACTACACCACCGAGGCAGTTGAATTTATTTTTACTATTAATTAATGAAAGAACGTATTAGGTAAAAACTCGCTACTTTGAACTGTACAGTGTGTAGTACATTTATAGCTTGTTTTATATCAGGCCACACCGAGTATCAACTAATTCCAAATGGTACACTATACATATTCAGTATCGGCCCCTAGTTTTTTATGTAATTTGGGATAACGAATGATATAGAGATAGTAAAATTTACTATTCTAATTACATGGTCTATCCGTTTTCCAAAAATTAATAGCTCCTTGTCACGATAGGATTAAACTTGGAATAAGAACGGAAATTAAGATCTCATTAGCTAATACTTTCTTAGATTTATGCGAATATTTGACAAACTATCTTTTCGGATTATTTCGCGGATTTATTTTGATTTTTGGTTCCCGACGTTTCGAATGCGAATCTCATTAGCTATTTTTATTAAGTTAATCTATGTATATGATCTGCACATAATCAATATATTCTGTTATTTTATAGAGTGAAAATCGTAAAGGTGTCAGTTAGTTTAGTCATGTTATCCCTTATGTTTACGATTTTTAATTCACTGTTTTGTTAAAAATGTAAAAACTAAGGATAATACAGAAACGTCTACTTCAAATGAAAACAAAATAAATTGCACATTAAGAAAATTATTAAAATGAAAATTAACCTGACTATTTTTTTCTTATGTCAATTTAAACATACACAATATAAACATATGTAAATTCTAAAATATGATATTACTTTTAATTGCATTTTAAGCAAAATAATATACGGAATCTTATTATTATTATTATTGTTTGCATTTGTTTTGGACAATACATGCACATTGCACACATATTTACTACTAGCGAGTTGCGACTCTCGCTCCGCTCGGGTTCGTCCCTACTTACGTTTTAACGTTTAGTATAGATTTCTCAGAGATGAGATATTTTCCCGCAATAAAAAGTATTCTATATGTTGACCCGGATAACCAGCTATCACCATACCTTTCATCAAAATCCCTAAAATAAATTTTCCGTGATGTGGTAACAAACACACAAATAGACAAAAATTCTAAAAACTATAGATTCGGTCTCTGTATCAGTAATAATGACTAATCCAATAAGATTTTCCAAAAAATATTTAATGTACAGATTCGACTTAGTTACAATTTTATTATATTATATATTTATATATTATAGATTTTCTTGAAAATCTTTGAATATGATAAAATTACTTTTGAAACACTATGAACATTGGATCACAGCCAACACTACGGTACAATTGATGACATTCAGTTTTGAATGTCATTGACCCCTTGACTCATGTAACGTTAATTAAATTTAACTTATATATTAGGTCAATTGCAATTTAATAATTCGAAATCGATCAACTTAAACCTTTTTTTATAATTTTGAGTATTCTATATTATCTATAAATCACAATATACCTAATAACTGCATTTATAAACTGAGACTTAGAATTAATTCTTTAATCTATACATTATAAACATTATTTAATATAGATATTTTATATCGAGGGAATCCACGTTATCTATAAAATATTTTTATAAAACAATTATTAAAGATGAAAGTTTCGTTATTAATTTATCTTGTTATGCATTTTAATTGTATTTTTTTTTAATTTAATCATTTATTTCAGGCAATATTTACGAAAAGATCTTAAATATGTAAACAGAGGCCCATAGCATAATATATACCTTAAAACTAACATATATATTAATTATAACTATTTAACACGTAGTGCACATAGTTGATAGATAGGCACGTTGCACGTAGCTAACAAACATATTATTATTACTCAACTATATTTTAAAATAATCCTAAGTTAAAAGGTAATCGCTTTATCATTTTTTTATCAACTAATGAGACAGCAGTCAACGCAGCGTGGCAGCAGGACGATGGTGGCGAAGACAAACCTATGTACGGTATAAAATAGTAATGTCCAATACTACAGAAAAATTTAATAAATAAATAAAAAAATAAAAAACCCGAATCCGAAAAACCGAACGAATAAAAAGATGAAAACAAGTTGGCGAAGGAACATAGTACGTACTGGCAGAACCCGCGGCCTTTGCTCACGTTAAAACTACAAATAAAAAAAAAACAAATTCTGTGGCTTTATGTTATATGTGAAAGTTATTAATACAGAAACACCCAGTCCCTGTGCTACACTGCGCGCCATGCGCCCGTCTACCATGCCGTGTAGGATTTTCGAAGCCCTATTTTTCTCTGCTGGGAGATGATTGTGGAAAAACTGTGAATTGTGATACAGGTGTCTCATAATTTTAATTGAAGAGTATGTGTACCAGTTTTTGAGTCAATCGACTCAGAGAATAAAAAGTTTCACAGAAAATTCAATACCTCTATTTCACCCTCTTAGGGATGGATTTCAAAAAAACCCTTTTTTAAAACTTGCTAGATTCTCTCAGACATGCAGGTTTCCTTATGACGTTTTCCTTCACCGTAAGAACAGTAGTAATCATGATGGAAATGATTCGTACATGAAAATATCAGAAGTGCGAGACCCGGGATTTGAACCTGCTTCGCTCAGTTACGTAAGCGAGCATATTGGGTACGCGGGAATAAATATTGAATTTATTCCAGCCCTGCCATAAAGAAGTACACATATGCATTTTCAATGGGTGATACCACTGTTTTTCGTAAAGTATATCTTTGCAAAACTCTCGTACACATATGGCACATCCGGTGCTCCATTGTAGCGTGAAATAATAACAAACCGTATACCTAAGTCCAAAAGTGTTTTCAGTTTAATGTTTTATTAGTAAATAACCTTAGTCTGTTAGGCAAACTCTTTAGCATTAGATATATCATTTATTATTAAGATGTTCTATCTATACATAATCCATACTAATAATATAAATGTGAAAGTTTTTGTTTGTTTGTTGGTCCATCTTTCACGTCAAAACAGAGTGAAGGATTGGCGTGATTTTTTGTGTGGAGATATTTGGAGGGCTGGAGAGTGACATAGGCTACTTTTGACCCCGGGAGATTTTCTCATTCACACGAGAAAACACGTTATAATACACATCAAAAAAATATATATGACCAGAATTACTTGAAACATGATATTAATGCTGTTCATTACAAATAAATAAATACGTGTCTAAGCATTTTTCGAAATTCATCTCATAAGGGGGTAAAATAGGGGATGAAAGTCTGTGAAAGTTTGTATGAACCCAGGTAGGGTTTTAGTTTCTTTTTTGTAGTTTTAGCGCGAGCGAAGCCGCGGGTTCTACTAGTTATAAAATAAAGAAATAAAAATATACAAATAATAATAAAATTATCTTTCATTTATTTAATTAAAACTGTATTGAATTCTGATTTACAAAACAGAACAAGAAATAAAAGGTGTAATAACAATTAAATTCATAAATTTAATTCGAACATTTAATATTGTGTCAGGTACACGCATCGCAATGTAAATATATTGTTTGGTTGATGTTGCTCTACATTTTAAAACATCTTATACTTATATTACACTTATTACTTAATTTAATATACTCCAACAAGCAAAATTAACAACAGTCGTATTGGACGGCTTTTATCAAGGCCATAGTGTGTGTCTGTACATATTGAGAAAGCCCAATTTTGGCACTGAAAATATTAATGCGCAGGATATGGAGTGTCGTTTGACGTCAAAGCCAGGTACCGAAGACGCTATGACTTATATGTAAATAGACGTACATAAAATTACTTTTCTTTAAAAATATTGACCCAGCTGTTTTAGCTCAGAATTTTCGATATTAAAAGAAAAATGATTTTAGTTACGTCTGTTATAACAGTGTAAAGCATGGTACAAGCTGACCGTTGCTTATTTCTGTTGGATATTATTGTTTGTACAAATATGAAGCAAGAACTGCCATGATGGCGAGTGGTACTGATACGGTAAGGGATCCCGCGCCATTGCATCCTTCTTTGTCACAAACGGTGCAGGATTTGATCTGCTTACTGGGGTCGGTGGTCATCATCTTGGTGTTATCAAGTAATCGGCACGATTCACTCAGGTTAGAGGGGTTAGCGTCCAAGCAAGTACGGACAGTTGCACCATTTTCTGTAAAGATATTATAATTATATATAGTGATTGATGCACAAAGTACTCGTAACATTTTATTTAAGAAAAGAAGTAGCCAAAGTGGAGGGTCCCAAAGTAGCGTTTTCTCTAAGTCAGAGATTTATCGAATATATACATACATTACCCACTGTAGGTAGTGGGTTCGAACGTTATAAGAGTATTTTATCTTAATTAACACTTGCTGTATTTTATAAGCAATATTTTATATGGGCAACTTATGTACTAATAACAAAGACGATTTTCAAATTCAGACCAAATTGTTAAAGACTTTGTAATATAAAAAAGTATAATAAAAAAAAATGTTTGTAGTTGATAGCTATAGTTCCAGGTGATAGATAAAGGTAAAAGTGGTAACAACAGCCTTCTTATTACTTCATCTTATACATAAGTAGTAAAATATTGTTATTAACAATATTTTATAACAAACAATGCTGTAAGACAACATAAAAAATAAAAATAAATACTAACGCATGACAAGTTTGTGACAGTAACGTGGCGCTCCTGCAACACCGTCCGCGAGCTCACGAGGTAGAATATCTCTTAAGTAGACACGGTTATAATTGATCGAGTCCTGGCTGACGCAATCCTGAAATGATATAAAAGGTCGATCAGTTTTAGTTATAGTGATCTATAAATTATAGAGTCGTAGATCATTTTATAAAGTCACTACTACATAGTGTTTGTATTATGCAATATTTTCACTTCACATGCCGGGTGAGTCACAGGGGTAGGTTATACAACAAATACACCCCTTTCGTTAGACTGAGTTGTGTCTTGGTAGCGCTGGAAGCTGTGTTTTATTTAGCAAGACTGGGATAAAGTCAATAATACAATTGCACTATGCGTGAAATCGAACTCGTTACCAGTCCAGTAATTCCAACTGCAGAGAATAGGTAAGATTTGGGTTCGATTCTCGGATCATGCTGAAAATGTTCAAGAAGTAAGGCGATGGAATGGATTTTTTTAATTGTTTATATGAGACTAATTAGTGCAAGACATAAAGAGAACACCTAGCTCCGTGCAACTTCTAATATAGAATAGTATAGAAATATTTGTATCGTGTGTAAAAGAATTCTAACTACCTATTTACTATTAAGTAAATTTACATCTACATATATAAAGTCGACGAAATAACGTCAATAAAGATTTAAAAATACATAAAATCGATTATTATAATTACCACTAATTTATCCTTAGCAGAGAACGGGTCTTTACATGTAGGATCCGATTGCGAATTGCACTGGTAACACTTAAGGCAAGATCCTGGAATAAAAAACACAGAGAGTTTAGATTTAATTTAAAAAAGCACACAAGATTTCTTTCAATAACTGTAACAGTAACTGTATTATAATCACAATTTCCATACATCTATACATATAACTAAGCCGAATCTGTACATTAAAAATTTTTTGGAAAATCATTTTGAAATAAACATTTTTATCGATACAGAGGCCGAATCTATAGTTTTTAGAATTTTTGTCTGTCTGTCTGTCTGTTACCGCATCACAGAAAAACTACTGGAGGGATTTTGATGAAATTTGGTATGGTGATAGCTGGTTATCTGGGTCAACATATAGGATACTTTTTACCGCGGGAAAATATCTCATTTCTGAGAACAAATACAAAAAGTGCAATGTAAGAGTATACTAATATGTAAAACCTAAGAATTTTGTTTTTGGTCATCTGAACTCGGGCGGAGCCGCGGGCAATGCTAGTATCATATATTATCGCAAAATTTATGCTGTACGTAAGTTTGAAGGAATTTATAAACAAAAAGTCTTTAGAAATGAATAATCGAATAAACAAACTATTTTTAAAAGAACGTCTGCTCCATATGCATCTGTTTGTGATTCAACGTATAGTTTTAATGGAAAACAATAATTTGGAACACATTGTTCATATTGGTTTGTGAGAATTGTTATAATATTTCGTTTACATACTAAAAGTAAATCTTGATCATGTTTCGTTCGTTGATTTAATAAGCATGACTTATATAATATTTCTCTTTGAACTGTTATCCTACTAATATTATAAACGCGAAGGTATGTGAAGATGGACGGATGAGTATTTCTAACTCTTTTACACAAAAAATACTGAACGGATTTTGATGAAACTTTACAGTAATATAGCTAATACACCAGAGTAACATATTGACTATATCTTTTAAAGATATAGTTATGCATAACTGAACGACGCGTGCGGAGCTACGGGAAAACACTAGTTATAATTTATCCCAAAGTTTGAATGAGTATGTTTATTACTCCTTTGTCCGGAATAACACATATGCTACTGTTAGGCACCTAGGGACGCTCCCAAGCGAAGCGTTAAGAGTAGGTAAGTCGCTTGTCTATACATACATTTTGTCTTTACAGAATTTTTGTCTGTCTGCCTGTCTGTCTGTGTGTTACCGCATTACGGAAAACCACTGGAGGGATTTTGATGAAATTTCGTATGATGGTAGCTGGTTATCCGGGTCAACATATAGCATATTTTTACTAGTATAGAATAATATTTAAAGTTAAGAACGTTTTACTTTACTACTACACTATTAACAGATTTGGAAGTATATTTTATGTGATAATGTAAATAACCCAATATATTCATGGATATAGCAAGTACACAAACAAACCAATTATTATGAAAAATGAATACTGAATAAAAATCGACATAAAATAGAATTCTTATATTGCCTTGCGCTATAAATCGTAATTGAGAAATGGGTCAACATAATAAATGTCTTTTCATGTCCTTTCTTCGAAATTTAGCGTTCATTTATAAGAAACTACACTTTTTTTCAAGCCATATTAGCAGGCAGATAATTTGTAGCATTATGGGTAAGTCGGGAGATATGTAGGTAATGACCTGAGCAATTTAGATATTGGAGGTCACGTTGGTCATATTATTCACTAGGTACAAACCAAACAAGGTATAAAATAAACGAGTGATAAACAATGATTATAGTAGTTAATAGTGGAAAAATACAAATAAAGATGGTCTTACTAATATTATAAATGTGAAAGTTTAGATGTTTGGATGTTTGTTACTAAGTCACGCCAGAACGGCTAAACAAATCTGGATGAAATTTGGCACAGAGATAGATTATAGTCTGGAATACTTTTTATCCCCGGAAAATGGACGGTTCCCGTAGGATAGACTTGTTTTTTTTTTCTAGACTCGAACCCGAGCGAAGCACTGGTGAGCCTTTCTGACTTTATAGCGCGACAATAACTTGAAATAATAATAATTTGTTAAGTTCACACGACCTTTAAGTGTTATTGAAATATTAGTATTCCTATTCAGTAGAGACAGTATAAAATCTAAGAGGGTATAGCAATAATTCGTCTGCTACAACGTACCTATTCTATTCGAGAATTTAATGTCACTCTACAGATTATGTACATTTAGGCTTAGAAAATCAAAGAGCTTACACACTGGTTTACTTAACTAAGTTAAATTTCTAATATATTTAATTAATATTTAACACATAACATAATATTGTAAAATGTAATAATACGATGTTGTTTCGCAACGAGAGATTGTTAACAAAGTATTACTAAAAGAATAATCTATATTAATATTATAAAGAGGTAAAGTTTGTGAGTTCGTGAGTTTGTGACGTTGTAGGGGGGTAATCTCTGGATCTACTGAACCGATTTAGATGAGACTTGGTAAGAAGATAGTTTGAAACCCTGGGAAGGACATAGGATACTTTTTATCCCGGAAATCATCCCTTAAGGGGGATGAAAGTTTGTATGAAGAATCAAGCTAGGGACGAACCCGAGTGAAGCTAGGGTGAGTTGCTGCTTTATGATATATTTAGGTGAAAAATATAAATTCTAAGAATATTAAACTAAATGATGTAATAGATAGTAAGCAAACTTTTGAAACTTGAAAACATAAAGTGCTTTAATCACTTATTAAAATAGAAGTTCTTCACTTTAGAGACTATGTTCACTCCGCCTATCAACGTTGTGTTATATATTTAACGTTGTAAAGCTTCATATAGTGTGCTTGATAAGCTTTACAAAATTGTAAGAAAAATATTTTAAAACTTCTTTAATATCCAAAATTTCTTTAAACAAGATGTAGTCAGCGATTATAAGTACTTTATATATACTTTTTCCCTAGATGTAAACATAACAAACGTGTGATGTAAATAGCCCTAGCCGGCCTCCACTCGCACAGAATAGCAAACCGCAAACGTAAACCGGTTTCATACACCGAAGTTAGAACCGTAGCTCATATATATGTACAAGATATTCAAGATTGTGTCACCGATGATATCACCAATCCATTTTTATATTTAGGCCATGATCAAGCGTCGCCTTCGACATATATGTCTAACTCTCTAGTCTCTACTGACATTATATAGATTCTTTAGAAACATAATATATCATATATATATATATATATATATATATATATATATATATATATATATATATATATATATATATACATATATATATCCCATTTTCACATTCCTATCATGTGTTAGATAGCGAAAAATATGCCATCTATTTTTGGGTACAGGTACCCAAAAACAAGCGTTTCTACACTAACAAAGCACTTATGTACTTAGTAAGTATTATATCATCTGTAGTTTGAACCATTGTGACTAACAAATGGTTAGTTCTGTCTAAAATGGTTAAATTAAAATAAACGGTCAATTATAATTGTCAACCATTGCGTATGACACTGAGTAGACCTTACTTTACGGTTGGCTAACGACGTAGTCCATTTGACCGTGAGTACGAAGCAATTCGAATATTCGTGTGCCTATGATGTCATTTTAAAATTGGTAGGCAGGCAATAAAAATACCAGTTTTACAGCTTGTTTTTGATATGATCGTGGTGATAAGCACAGGAAACAGGTACGCGACAGGACCAAAGATGAAACTTACATTTCTATACTTAGTGAATATATGTAATATATAAACATTTGTACCGGAATCGAATTGGCAACGTGTGGCCTAGTAGTGCTTCCCTTAGTTTCCTTTTTTTTATTTTATTAGAAAGTTCTTTAATTTCAAAGGAGCTTTATGTAATGGTCAAACCCGCAATAAGCTTAAGATATGAGGTAAAAATGTACCTACCTACTATATAATATTGTTTTTTTCTCAGTTTCTGGCAGGGCACCAAATTTGAGTACATTAACTTAATCCTCTAAAGAGTAATACGTTGTAAAAGTATACTTTTTTCTCTAACTTATGTTAGTTATTTGACAAAAAAATATAGTTTGTTTTGCTCATAGTATTATCTTTTTTATGTTTTAATTTAACGGAAATACACATCACTTTAATCATTCAGACTATAACCAACACATACTTATTTTAATTAATTGTTAATTGTAACAATTCTTGTCCTGCCCCTCATTTAAATATTAATCACAAATAGTGATCACTTCGTTTCACGGATGGGCTATTAATAGTTTTTTTTTTAATAATAATTTATTTATTGTACTATATATAAAGTGACAATATAAGGGGTTAAAGTAAGTAAAGCAAGTTTATTTATTTACATTTGCCGTGGCAAGATTTACGTCGCGTCGTTTATTATTTTTCAAGGATGCTTCGATGTCGATATCGTTAAGATTCTATCTAGAAGCATTCATTGTTGTTGCATCTATTCACAGGGAGTTAATTAAATGAGTCACAAACTCGACGCAAATTGTCTTATACCATGTAACATGTAGGTGTAAATGAAACGGAAAACTAGTTTTTCTATCTATGAGCAATTAATGATGTTGTCTGTATAAATGTATATATAATCATTATAAAGTATAAAGTAATACCTAATAATAATAAGAATAGAATTTTCCACTCATCAACGACGTAAAGTGGACCCCTGTATGTAACAGACGGATGTAAATCACTATTAGATTTTATGTCCGATATAAATTTAATAAATTTGAACCCGCGACCTCTGGCCTTGAAACAAGTACGAGTAAATATTTTTACTTGCGTAGGTAATTTAGTTACTAAAGCCTTACCACAGATGACATAATATATATTTGTACTTTTCCATTCATACTAATATTATATTTGAAAAAAGCTCTGTCTGTTTGCTTGTTATCTATTAACGCTTGAACCGTTAAACGAATTTTGATAAGAACGGAGCTGCGAGCAAAAATTAGTCTGCTATACATACATATATTAAAAAAAAATATTATATGATTTTATTGAAATTAAATGACTTTTTAATAGCATTAAATGTAATAATACCTTTTTAATAACACGACAATGTTTTAATGATATCTTAATATCAACATACACGTTTTAGAAACAATCTAATTCTAATTAAGTTTTTGATAAACTAACACTTACCTACATATTAATAAAAACATAAATAAGAAATAACCAGACAGCGGAGTTTTAGTAATCTAGATATGCAGTATATATAAAAAAATGAAATAAATTGCGTGAGCTAGTGTTGCGCAGTCGTTAAAAATCTGGACTTAGGCCAAAATCTGAAGTAGGTACAAACATGCGTAAGATGCTGAAGTCGTTTATTCGGTAGGTTTTACTTGTATGTATATACACGTAAGCCCCGTAGTTTTACTATTACATTTATTAAAAAGCCAACATTTTCATAATATTTGATAAATTCGATTTTGATAATGAATAAAAATTGTTAATTTGCTGTATTTACTTTTGCTAGATGAATGTAATTTAATTAATAAAAAGTTATATAACATATCGATTTAACTCATTAGGTATATGTTAGTTTTTGGTTTACTAAAATACGAATATTCCTTTGTTATTTATGTTTATTTAGCAAACTTTTATTATCTAAGCAAATGCCAAAATCTATAACAATGAGTAATAAAAAAAGCTCTAATAAGAAACATCAAAAACTTTTGCATTAAATTTTTTATTGTCCTAATCAGAATTCATGTCTCGAAATGGTATTTTATCGCGTTCTCGTTGATGTCTTAATTTTGCGTTAGCTATTAGGTTTTTATTTATATAAAAACCAAACAAAATTCATTTCAACTCCTTTGAAATTATTGAATATTGAATAAAACAGTAATAAAGGGCTTTTAAAATGTCTTTCAAACAATACAATATTTACTACAAGTTTGTCTTTAGTGTAACATAGGTATGATTAACATTGTAGTACTCTTTAATCTATCTGTCCTCGTATACAAGGAAAACAAAACAAAGTTATTTTAACTACCCATGAACGTGATATTAGAAAAATCGTGATTTGCTTATAGTTATAGGAAATAAAAGCTGTTTATAGTTATGGAAGGTAGGAAAATAATTATTATATGCTTATTAGTTCTCAAATTCTACATTTATACTAGATACTAAACTTTGTAAACCTTGTAATTAACTTTTTTTATTTAGATAACTACCTACTCAATTTTATTTAAATCTATCGATTTACATCTCGTAAACTGATTAAAGCAAGCGTAAAATGAAATTTTTTATTTTATGTATTTATCTTGATAGTGCTGATATTGAATTGGATCGCAATAAATTGTTTTGATTGCATTTTAATGTAACTTATAAAATATTTAAAGTTAAAGTTAAAAAAAATAACAAATTTAGGTTAAGGCGGGAAATTATAACGTACCGATTTCAAATAGTGCCAATAGGGTGGCGATTGTCAAAGCAGTCACAGTTCGGGCCATGTTAATGGATTTGGTAGAGTAGTTGAAATTGTACGGGTAAACTCTCGCGACGTACGATTGAGACTGAAGCGTCGACCCACTCGCCGACCGCGCGACGCCGACGGACGCATTTACACGTATAGTAGGGTATACAAGCGTTGGTTAATTCCCGGATAATCTCATATATTGTATTCAGCCCTTTTTAAGGTCCCACAGCTGGGCATGGGCCCTTCAGTACGAGGGGAATCAGGCCATTCATCTCATCAGGTCATGTAGGTACACATAAATTGTGATCGAAAAAGTTATATCCGTTTTGGTACAATATATACGTATGAAAGTATGAATGGAAATGCAGGATTAATCAAAAATTTTGAAAGATTTTCTTTGCAAAGCGATTTACATGATCAGCTATCTAACAGTTCTTTAATTTTTTTTTGTACTGTATTATTGATGATCCCTGCCTTATAAAGTATACCGTTGCCTTATATATCATATGATCATAACCATAGCTCGACCCTAAATCATTTATATCTAAACCGTTCAAAGAGGAAAGAAGAAATTCCCTTATACCCTACAAGTATAAGTCCGCGATCGTGTCGATTAATCGATTTGTTAACTATGACATATTTTGTCAGGGAATAGAGATAATATTAATTAATTAATTAATGTGTAATTATGCGTCATGTCAAATGATCAAAAATCTAATTTTTGTGCATATCCTATAAGAAAAAGCATGGTGAGAGCACAATCGAATCTAACAGCACCATTCGTTGCACTGCCAGATATAGTGTCAACAGGTAGTCTATTTCATGATTACAATAAAAAGTTTCATTCCAAACCATTAGGCCTCTATCGAGTGATAGAAAAATAGAAAAAACTTTAAAACTGTCGATTTTGCATTTATTGCAACGTATACACTTACTATATAAAGTGTTTAAAAAAAACTATGGTCAATTATGGCTAATTCATAATAAGATTATTTTATAAATACTTGTATACAGTATGTAACACAAGTGATATTTTTGTTAAACCCATTTTTGGGTTTTTTTTAGAAAAACATATTTTGGACCTCAGTACTTCTTTTCTCAAAAGGAATGGTTCACATATTATCCTCCTTCTAGTCATAATAAATACTACCACACACAAAAGTTAGAAATTTTATTATGTCAGGGTTGTGTACATATCCGGTAGTTCTTTAAAATTATTTTGGATAAGATTCGTCCAAGCTAATGTTTTAAGTGATTGTCCTGCCAAAATTATTATTACCTACCATTAAGATTTGCATTTGTCTCTGTTTGGCTTTATGGTGGGCGTGTCATTTTTTCGCACAACGACGTTTTGCGTAAAGATAGTATTAATGGAAGTGATACAGGTAACTTTTAATATACCAAGAATATATCAATCAGTAGCTGTGGTATGTGGTTATGTGGCCGAAACAACGTGGGTTCATTTGTTTTTGTGAGGGAGCTCAGTAGCGTGAAGAGGGAAGAGACGGACAGAAGAAAGAGTAACAAGGGGAAAGAGATGGAATTGGGAGCAGTCCATCTTGGTGGGCTTCGGGAGATGCACCATGCAGGTTGCTCCTGATCTTGATTAAGTTCTCCGAGCAGAGTGATCCCTACTAATCCCGAGACCAACCCACTGATTGTTGTAGTAAGGTAAGTCATCCGTCGGTACGTCATGGTTGAGTGCGTAAGTCCTGGGTCCTGTGGCGCCACAGCTGGTTTCCGGCGATGATAGAATAATTAATTATTTCACGCTATAAGAACCTTGGATGAGAAAGATAGTTTTCGTTCAGATATTGCAATCATGCAAAATCCTTGACTTATACAAAATTTTATATTTTAAGCAAATTATTTCATACCTTCAAACAAAGGTTTAATCTATACATATAATAAAGTTGTAACTAAGCCGAATCTGTACATTAGATATTTTTTGGAAAATCTTATTGAAATAAACATTATTATCGATATAGAGGCCGAATCTTTAGTTTTTAGAATTTTTGTCTGTCTGTTACCGCATCACATAAAAACCACTGGAGGGATTTTGATAAAATTTGGTATGGTGATAGCTGGTTATACGGGTCAACATATAGGATACATTTATCGCCGGAAAATATCTCATTTTTGAGAAAAAATACAAAAACTGCAATGTAAGAGTATACTAATATGTAAAACCTAAGAATTTGGTTTTTGGTCATCTGAACGCGGGCGGAACCGCGGGAAATGCTAGTATTAATATAATATGTAATTTATTTATATTTATTGTCACATACATAATAGTAGATAATAACTGATATAACACAGGCACGAGTTAGCGTAAAAGTTTTGTTTTTCCTCGAGATGACAGCGTTGTTATCACGTACATTTTTATTAGTACTATAAAAGTACATTGTAGTTTTTATTTATTCTATTATTTTTTATAATACTATCTTATTATTTTACATAATATTCTTTCTATAAGAGTTATATATAACAAAAGAAATTACACTTCAGATGTTAAGTACGTATTGTGTTTTTTAGCTTATTAAAATATATAAGAAAATTACAAATGTACTTAATTCTATATAAAAAACAAATGTACACTTAATTATTACTGTACAAGTCATATAGTGGCAAAATGTTAATCGCATGTCCCCGCTGAATGACAATGCCGATTCATTGGGCGAAAAATGAGTCTAGGTCTCCTGTAACCAGTAAAGGCGATAAGACAAGGTGTTATGTCTTTTAAGAGATGCTTAGCACTTTGACTCCATGGGCCAAGTGTTTCTACAAAAAATGGTATAAAAATTAAAAAGGTAATTTTAACTGAGGAATTGTATTGTGGTCAAGTTAATAAGTATAATATTTTCATTGTCAGACATGGAAAATCCAATATTTATTTAACAACGTACATAATTTGTTAACTAAGAATTATATACCTATTCGTGCTAACTATTATAAAAAATAAATAAATAAATAAAAAAAAGCCTTTTATTTCCTGCTTACAATCTTATAGGTAGGTTAATTTCAGGTAGTACATACATATATATTTATAATTGCAGGAACCCCTCTCAGGTGAAGGCCTCTTCCAAAGCTTGCCATTATAAGAATACCTATATAATAATCCTATTAACATGTCTTTACGGAATTTTAGAACTTTTTTATATAAGTTAATTATTATTCGTACTATGCCATATAATAGATAATACTTTCTTAGATTTACGTGAATGTTTGACATTATTAAATAAAACTATCTTTTCGGATTATTTCGCGGATTTATTTTGATTTTTGGTATAAAATAAATCCGCGAAATAATCCGAAAAGATAGTTTTATCCATATAATAGAGTTATTATTTTATTTAAATTGAATATAAGTGATTTTACTAAGAAAACACCATCAAGTTTCAGTAAGAACAGGAAATAGAATTAGAAAAATGGCGGCGTAAATATTTAATATGTTACAAAAAGAATGTATAACGTAATATGTTTGACTTACAATGGAACAATACTATTACTCACTGTTGTGACTCTTTTCCTGTAAACTATGATGTTATATTTATTGAAACAACACCCAAGTCTCATTCACCGCAATGACTTATTTACTTATTGCAAAAGATTCATATAAGTCATTTCCATCACCTTATTTTCCATACAATTATATACTTACTATATCGGTTAGTTGATTAAAAACTTCACTATGTATTTTTAAAAGTTTTTATAATTTTAAATATTTTGTACTGCTAAAAGCTTTAAAGGTAAATTTTGCTCTTTCATTTGTCAGTTTAGCAAATCATGTAGGTAGGCAATAATAATTTCAAATGACATAATCTATGAATTAACATATACCTTCATATTACCTGCAACACATATTACAATATTACCTGCAACATAACCGAATGCTAAGTAAATACTACCTACGCGAATTATTCCGAGAGATAAGACAAACAATGAAATCCTTTAAAGCGGACAATTTAGATTTAGTTTTAGTTTGTTTTATAATAAGCATTTTGTCAATAATATATCATAGCTTACAACATTTGTGTAATTGAATTTTACGAAGATATGCTTTCTACGACGGAACCAAAAATCAAAATAAATCCGCGAAATAATCTGAAAAGATAGTTTTATTTAAAATGTCAAATATTCGCGTAAATCTAAGACAGTATTATATTTTCTACGACTTATTTTGACCAATTATTTAACATTGGGGTGTAATTTTGCACTAGGTATATGCATTAATCTCAATCTATCAATCATTACAACGGAAACATGCAATGCAAGTTAGCTTAAAACGATGCCCGACTGCGGCGAAGTACAAAAGAGGCTTATGTGTTTGACCTGTATGTATGTATGTTTGTATGTACCTATGTATGTATATGTATATATATCCTATATTTCCACGTAATTACTAAACGTCTTAAGCGATTTTGATGATTTATACGTCATTAGATCTGTCTTAATAACGCGAGTGTCGGGTATATGGACGTTATTAGAAACCAAAACGGCAGATGTCAGGTGCCAATTTAAAAAAAATATAGTCCAATTTTATCGTATGGAATATGAAAATGAAGATTGAGGCGCTTACAAAAATATACAAGTCATATGTATAAAAGTAATTTGGAATAAGAAATTGTTAATTAAAACTCCAAACGTTTAATTTCTTAAAAATGGCTAAAATTAATTAAAAAATTTAATAATTATAAACATAAAATTACCCGACTGCGTAAAAAAAATTATGTTTTATACTTGCTGCGAGTCTTTTTACGTGTATGTATGTCTGCATAATACTATATGCCTTTGTCAGGTTGTTTTTATCATTATCCGTTGATTTCTTTTTTTATTTTTATTTTTTTAAATTCATTCTAGTCTATAAAGTTTTTATAAATAATAAATTTCTAGAAAGCTTTCAATGCATAAAAGGTATTTACTTTAAGACTCAGTACTCTTTGTCCTCTAATAACGTTAGAGTAATATAACGTAAGAGGATACAACAATGTATGTACATATATTTTCACAATAGCTGCCAAATAACTTCAAGAA